TATCATATACAACAATGCCAATTAATGACAGTGCATTAGTTATTAATTGGGCAGAGACAGAACAATGTATAAGTAATTACACTATTACAATAACCACTAATAACACAATTACTGAGAACAACATTGTCAATACTTCATCAGCAACTTTTGATAATCTCGTTATTGGTACTAATTATTCATTTATTATTATTCCTATTGATACTGTTGGAAGAGAAGGACCTCCTTCATCATTAATACAGTATATATGGAATGGTAAGAACTATACACACACACACACTCATTGTATTTCTTATAGTACCAGCTCAAGTTGTTAATATTAGTTGGTATCAGATATCAACTGATAGTATTACAATATGGTGGAATAACAATCAAGTAGGTTGAAATTATTATTATTTATGATAAAAATAGATGTTATTAGGATTACATCCTCCTATTGAGTATTACATTATTAATGTATACATTACAACAATTTGTATTAATAGTTGTTCTGTGTACAGTTATAATGTAACAGATACTAATACTACTATTACTGGACTATCTCCTATTAATGAATACTACACTGTTACTATCATACCTGTTAATGTTATTGGATATGGACCATCAGTCACTGTTAATGGTATATAGCATCAGTACCTAATATAATGTATAAATACACATTATTACTATAGTCAGTATAACCACTACTACATCAAGTATCACTAACATTATGATGAGTACTACTGAGTATATCACAACACAAGATAAAAGCTCAGCTATGACAGCATTACCAACAATCACAGAAACACAATTAATTACAACAACTGAAACAATAATAAGCAGTTACATTGAGAGTAAGTTATAATAATCAATGCATACATACAGTGAACATATTATCATTAGGTTATGCTTCATGCAATACAACAGGAACTCCACAAGCAACAGATGCAGGATGCATTAGTGGTTAGTTAATACATTAAGTGTATCTAATCTATTACACACACACAGTTGCTATTGCTGTACCTATCACTGGTCTATTAACTGGACTCATTACTGCAATAATTACTAGTATCATTGTATGTTTAATAATGAAAAAGAGAAGAACTGCAATACAAAATAAAACTCCAGTAGGAGGAGGAGGAGGAGAAGCAGCAGTTATTGGTCCAATATATGATTTACCAACAATCAATACTGAACAACAAGAAGAACAAATTATTGATACTAAACTTAACACTGCATATGGACAAACTAATTTATAAAATAAAAAGTCAACAATCTCTATAGATCTATTTTTTATATTCAACGTATGCCCACAAAATCTAGAAAAAAATTTCATATCTCAGTATTACATTAACTGAGATTTTACTTCACTTAAATACTATGTACATGCAATCCTGTATGCACATTAGTCTTGCGTAACTACATGCACATCATGTGCTTAATTGTTATGATAGACATGAGTAACCACACACTAGTAGTCCAGTAGGTGTAACTGTTGTAGGTACAAAGAAGAACAACAGCAGCACTGCTTTGAGTTAAGTGAGTATTTGCTCATTGTTATTATCATAACAGTATTTCAGTTCTCATTTCTCTTACTGATATACTAATGGCTACTACTGGTATCTACTGGTGTCTTGTATTGACTGAATGTTTGAGTCTTGTTTCTAGTAAGTCTGTTTTGTTAACAAAATAGTTAATATGTAATTTTAAATGTAGCTGTAGTATTCTTTCAGCAAACAGAACCTAATGCTAGTATTGCACTCTGTCTGGGTGATAGAGTAGAATTTACTTGTGAAACTGATATTGGCAGTGTAATTTGGCAAACAGATGATGGTAGAATAACTGCACTATCAAGTCTTACTGTGCCTTCTCAAATAGACAGTCTCTTACTGGCTGTCAGTCATTTTAATGGTAGCATGATAACTAGTACTGCTACTATTGAATCGGTAACAACATCATTGAATGGAGCTATGATTGGTTGCTCAGATGCATTGGTGCTTGAAAATTTTATTTATCTACCTATTAATGTAACAGGTTAGGCATTGTGTTATTATCATTATTACTACTGCTTTAAAGGTCCAGTAGTACCAGTTAATGTAACAGTTAAACCAATTAACAATAGTGCATTATTCATTCAATGGGCAGAGCAACAAGACTGTATAAATCATTATAATATCACAATGACCAGTAATAACACATATTCTGAGAACAAAATGGTCAATACTTCATCAGGAACTATTGGTTCTCTCATTATTGGTACTAACTATTCATTTATTATTATTCCTGTCAGCACTGGTGGATTAAAAGGACCACCTTCATCAATAATACAGTATATATGGAATGGTAAGTACTATACACACACACACTCATTGTATTTCTTATAGTACCAGCTCAAGTTGTTAATATTAGTTGGGATCAGATATCAACTGATAGCATTACAATATGGTGGAATAAAACTCAAGTATGTTGAGTATGAAATTCAATTCTATATAACAGATGATAATTAGGACTATTCTACTATACCAGTTCCTCCTACTCAGTATTACATTATTAATGTATACAATACATCAAACAGTATCATATACAATAATAATACTAATAATACTAATGTTACTATTACTGGACTATCTCCTATTAATGAATACTACACTGTTACTATCATACCTGTTAATGTTATTGGATATGGACCACCAGTCACTGTTAATGGTATGGTATCATTACTGTGTAATATTATTTCGTTCCTAAACTTATTATAGTCAGTATAACTATAAGTCTTTCATCAGTATCTTCAAGTTAGAATATGAAATGATAATACTTTTACTATTATTTTTCTTACAGTTAGTATAATTACAATAGATACATCAAGCAAAAATATTATAATGACAAGTACCATTACTACTACTGAGTATATCACACTACATACAACCAGTTCAGTATTAATTGTATCAACCAAAACACAATCAGCAGTTGAAAGTAAGCAACTATATAGCACATACTGTGTTTGTGGGCAGGCTGTGACATACAATTTTAAAAATCATAGTGATTAGCATACATTGTATTTTGAAGAAATTATTATCCACAAAATAAGCACTACACATGATTGAGAATTAAATCTATATACTGGCATTTAGTCAAATAAATTACTTACTTTACTAGGTTGTTCTTCATGTATTACCACAACAATGTCACAATCAACAGATGTAGGATCCATTAGTGGTTAGTTAATACATTAAGTGTATCTAATCTATTACACACACACACAGTTGCTATTGCTGTACCTATCACTGGTCTATTAACTGGACTCATTACTGCAATAATTACTAGTATCATTGTATGTTTAATAATGAAAAAGAGAGGGACTACAATACAAAATAAAACTCCAGTAGGAGGAGGAGGAGAAGCAGCAGTTATTGGTCCAATATATGATTTACCAACAATCAATACTGAACAACAAGAACAAATTATTGATACTAAACTTAACACTGCATATGGACAAACTAATATATAAAATAAAGGAAAAGTCAACAATTTCTATAGATTAATGTAAACAGCTTGCAAGCAAATAATTATTCCATTGTCTAAGATTTAATATTCACATGTACTCAACTACCCATGCATGCACAGCATATGCTTGATTGTTATGATAGCATGAGTACACAAGTAGGTGTAACTGTTGTTGGCACAGAGAAGAACAACTGCTTACTGTTTACGTATCATAACAGTATTTCAGTTCTTATCTCTCTTATTGATACTAATGGCTACTACTGGTATCTACTGGTGTCTTGTATTGACTGAATGTTTGAGTCTTATATCTGGTAAGTTAACTAAATTATTGCGTGACAATATTATTAAGACTGTGCAGCATCATTGGTACAAACTATTCCACCATACCCTACTCCTGTGTGTCCTGGTGATAGATTAGTACTCACTTGTACAGCTAGTACTAATGGTGTAGTGGTGTGGAGAGGTGATTCTGGCACTATACGTACTATAGCCAGTAACGGGAATCCAATAACAGTAGATAGTTTCAATATAACAGCGAGACTAGTTGATGGTGTAACAGTAAGTTATGCTACAAATGAATCAGTACCAGTACAACTGAATGGAGCTAATGTTAGGTGTTCAGATGATATTGGACTTACTTACAGTGTGGTAACAATTAATGTAACAGGTATTGTCATTTACTCATTATCATTTCTTATTATATGTTATTTAGATGTACCAGAAGCAGTTAGTAATGTAACTATTGATCTAATTAATAATAGTACATTATTTATTAATTGGAATATGTCAGCATCATGTATAGACCACTATACTGTTACTATTAATAGTAACAATACACATAATGAATCCAGGACTACTAACAACACTAATATAACTATTGATACTCTTATTATTGGTACTAATTATTCATTTATTATTATTCCTATTGATACTATTGGAAGAGAAGGACCTCCTTCATCATTAATACAGTATATATGGAATGGTAAGTACTATACACACACAGACACACACAGACACACACAGACACACACACACATTCATTGTATTTCTTATAGTACCAGCTCAAGCTGTTAATATTAGTTGGGATCAGATTTCAACTGATAGCATTACAATATGGTGGACCCAAGTATGTTGAGTATTAAATTCAATTCTATATAGCAGATGATAATTAGGACTATTCTACTATACCAGTGCCTCCTACTCAGTATTACATTATTAATGTATACAATACATCAAACAGTATTATATACAATAGCAATACAGCTAATACTAATGTTACTATTACTGGACTACTTCTTACTGATATAAACTACACTGTTACTATCGTACCTGTTAATGTTATTGGATATGGACCACCAGCCACTGTCGATGGTATGGTATCATTACTGTGTAATATTGTTTATTCCTATACTTATTTTAGTCAGTATAACTACTGCTAGTAGTTCATCAGTATCTTCAAGTTAGAATGAAATCATAATAATAATACTTTATTATTTCCCCATGCATTTTCCTTACAGTTTATATAATTACAATACATGTATCAAGCAGCAATATTATAATGATGAGTACTATTACTACTACTGAGTATATCACACTACATACTACCAGTTCAGTATTAATTGTATCAACCGAAACACAATCAGCAGTTGAAAGTAAGCAACCAAATAGCACATACTGTGTTTGTGGGCAGGCTGTGACATACAATTTTTCAAAATTATATTGATCAGCATACATTATATTTTGAAGAATTATTATTCACATAATAAGAATTAAATATATGTACTGGGATTTAGTCAAATAAATTATTTACTTTACTAGGTTGTTCTTCATGTATTACCACAACAATGTCACAATCAACAGATGTAGGATCCATTAGTGGTTAGTTAATACATTAAGTGTATCTAATCTATTACACACACACACAGTTGCTATTGCTGTACCTATCACTGGTCTATTAACTGGACTCATTACTGCAATAATTACTAGTATCATTGTATGTTTAATAATGAAAAAGAGAGGGACTACAATACAAAATAAAACTCCAGTAGGAGGAGGAGGAGAAGCAGCAGTTATTGGTCCAATATATGATTTACCAACAATCAATACTGAACAACAAGAACAAATCATTGATACTAAACTTAACACTGCATATGGACAAACTAATATATAAAAAAAGGAAAATTAAGATTAATGTAACGTACAGCTTGCAAGTAAATATTCCATTGCCTAAGGTTTAATATTCACATGTACTCAACTGCTCATGCATGCGCAGCATATGCTTAATTGTCATGATAGCATCAGTACACCACAAGTAGGTGTAACCCTTGTTGGCACAGAGAAGAACAACTGCTTACTGTTTATGAGTCATAACAGTATTTCAGTTCTTATTTCTCTTATTGATACTAATGGCTACTACTGGTATCTACTGGTGTCTTGTATTGACTGAATGTTTGAGTTTTCTTGTATTAGGTCAGTGAAAAGTCTTAAAGCATTGATTTATGTTTTGATATAGTAACAGGACAAAGTGTTGTCTCATTCAATCACACTCCTTATCCAGTTGTGTGTCCTGGAGATAGACTAGTGTTCACATGTGTAGTAGAAGGTACAAATGGAGCAGTAGCATGGAAGAACAATCAGCACGTTGCAGTTTTAACCACTAGTAGTGCAATTCCTCTACTTGATGACTTTACATTAAGTATTACAAGTTATGATAATGGTGTACTAGTTAGTGCTGCTACTAATCTATCAGTTCCAGTACAATTGAATGGAAGTACTATTAGTTGTTCAAGTGATGCAATACATTATGATACATTAACTATTAATATAGCAGGTTTGTATCAGCATACACATAATGATATAATTTATAATTATAACAGGTCCACCAATAACACCAGTTAGTAGTATAGCTACTACTGCTATTACTAATGATGTCTTATTAATTAATTGGAGCTATTCAGATTCATGTATAGACCACTATATTATTACTGTTAATAGTAACAATACACATAATGAATCCAGGACTACTAACAACACTAATATAAATATTGATACTCTCATTGTTGGTAATAATTATTCATTTATTATTATTCCTATTGATACTATTGGAAGAGAAGGGTCTCCTTCATCATTAATACAGTATATATGGAATGGTAAGAACTATACACACACACACACACACTCATTGTATTTCTTATAGTACCAGCTCAAGTTGTTAATATTAGTTGGTATCAGATATCAACTGATAGTATTACAATATGGTGGAACAATGAAGTAAGTTAAAGTTTTATTTATGATAATAATAAATTTTATTAGGATACTACAACATTACGTCCTCCTATTGAGCATTACATTATTAATGTATACATTACAACAATTTGTATTAATAGTTGTTCTGTGTACAGTTATAATGTAACAGATACTAATACTACTATTACTGGACTATCTCCTATTAATGAATACTACACTGTTACTATCATACCTGTTAATGTTATTGGATATGGACCATCAGTCACTGTTAATGGTATATAGCATCAGTACCTAATATAATGTATAGATACATATTATTACTATAGTCAGTATAACCACTACTACATCAAGTATCACTAACATTATGATGAGTACTACTGAGTATATCACAACACAAGATAAAAGCTCAGCTATGACAGCATTACCAACAATCACAGAAACACAATTAATTACAACAACTGAAACAATCAGTAGTTGTGCTGACAGTAAGTTATAATAATCAGGACATATATACAGTGAACATATTGTTCATTAGGTTCTTCTTCATGTGTTATCACAACAATGTCACAATCAACAGATGTAGGATCCATTAGTGGTTAGTTAATACATTAAGTGTATCTAATCTATACA